AAGAATTCTAAAAGTAGTTTACCATAGTTTACAATATTATTTAATATATTAATAAAATCATTCTTATAGCAGGAACTGAAGAAGAAGAACAGCAATGGGATCAATTAATTGATAATTAGATTGAATTTGGAATTCATGAAAACCAGTTTAAATTTGAAGAAGATTTTATTTTTTCTTCTACTGAATGGGATCATGATTTTAATTTAGGAGAGTATACTATACATCCTTTCGATAATAAAAATGCAAAGTGGTCTTTAGAAACTTTATTTGTTTCTAACTTAGAATCCTCTTTATTTTTGGGAACTGATCATATTTTTACAGATATGAAATAAATAATTATATTTTTTTAGTGTAATTTTATTTTCATTATTATTTTATTTTATTTTTTTAATTAATAAATAAAAAATTATTTGTGATATAAAAATAAAATTAGACTTTTAGAATTAATAAATTTAATAAATTTTCTCTAATAAATTTCTTTAATAGAATTAATCAGAAAGCAAGTTCAGATATTTTAAATTAACTGAATTTAAGAGAAAGTTAAACATTTAAAGAAAGTTAATTTTAAAAATTAATTAATTGAGAATGAAAGAGCATTGGTTCCAAATAAAAATTGTTGCTATATAGTTACTCGGGATATATAATAAATTATCAGATAACTCGAGTAATTTCACAATACTCAAGTAGAGATTTCTCAACTAGTTTAATCTTTAAAGAATATGAAATTATATATTACAAGACAATACAGTATACTTGAGTTCATTCATTTAATAGTTCAATAATAACTAAAACAAATTAAAAGTGAAAAAGATTATATTAACTAAATATATAATCCTATTGCTAGATCGCATTTAATCTTGTCACAAGTTAAATAATCAAAAAAAAAAAAAAATGTAAAATTGGAAATTTTTGCTTATAAGAATAATAAATTTCTTATTATAAAAGAGATTATATAATAAGCATACTTAGATTTTTTTTTTTTTTTTTTTTTTTTTTTTTTTACTTTATACAAATGCTATCGGCTTAACTTTATTAAT